AGTCTGTTCTTGAAGATGTTAAAATCTCATACCTTGGAAACAAAGACTAGTGTCGGCAATGAGTGCTATTCATTGTATGTGCTTACTGAATTCTCATGACATCTTGTCCACATAGTGTTCTATTTTGTTATTCCTGACCATACGCTATGTCTTTTTAGCTAATAACTAAAGAAACAAATATTATTTCCAATATCCACAGTTATACTATGGAAACCCCCTCTGAATGGGTGTTATGATACATTTTCCGTCAGTACATTCTGCAGTATTGATACTTAGTTTATAACTCTTTATAATAATAGCATCATGCTGGCAATTCCTTAGCCAATATTGTCAAACACAGTAAATCAATAAATCTGTTCATGTAACATGATATATATGTATATATATATGAATATATATATACATATATATGTCTAAGTTGTTACCACTCATACTTTAAAAATATGTAGATGAAATTAATTGTAATAATGTATTTTAGGTGAGGTACCTATCATTTCAGAATATGCTTTATATGAAAGAGTGACTAATGATGAACATTTATATTTTCACATACTAAGTCTACAACATGCTGAATATATTTTTACTCTTACAAAGTGTCTGAATTCATACCCAAATCTTCACCAGAAATGTTTGATTAGTATCTCTATCTCATAAATTTACAATAAAAAAGAAGATTCACATATGCAAGTTATTCCACGCCTACCTCAAAGTTTTTGAATAACTAAAATAAGTATTAGTTTTTAAATTTCAATTTATATGTGCTACAACTTGAATACATTTTCTCCTCTTTCATAGTGTCTATTTCTTTGAAAAAGTATTTTTATTGGATAAACAGATATGCAGAGAAAAGGAGATACAGAGAAAAAGATCTCTTTGCCCCTTCACTGCTGAAGTGACTGCAACAGCCAGAGCTGAGCAGATCTGAAACCAGGAGGCAGGAGTTTCTTTTGCGTCTCCCATGTGGGTGCACGGTCCCCAGGCTTTGGACCATCCTCAACTGCTTTCCCAGGCCACAAACAGGAAGTTGGATGGGAAAGTGGAGCAGCTAGGACACGAATCAATACCTATATGGGATCCCAGTGCATGCAAGGCAACTAGTCAGCCACTGAGCAGGGGTACCAGGGCCTCATCATTGTACTTTTTACAAGTATCATTTCCTGTTGCACCTGTGAGACTGCAGGGAGCTGAGTGTGACTCAGCTCGGATTACACAGCCAGGAATGGTGGTCCTGCCTTTGAAGGAATCCATGTCCATCTGAAGGAAGATAGAGGGTCTTCCCAAGATACATTTTTACTTTTTTTTTTAAATTGATATATATAAAATAACATGCACCCTCCTTTAGGAAAAATTTATATTTTATGAGAATCTTTAAAAATGCATCCAGTTATATGGCCAATGCCATGTTAGAGCTAGACCTTGATGACCTAGTTTTCTGCAAAAAAAATTCTTCTTCGAGCACTTTGGTAGTTAATCTTCTCTCTTACCTTAATCACTCAGAGACACCAATTTGACATCTTCTATCTAGTTTTGCCTTCTTCTATGTATCGGGAAGTAGAATTTTATAGTAGGTGACCTTTTGTGTCTGCCTTTTGTTTTTTTGCAATAATGCATTTGTGATTCACTTATGTTCCTAGAGGTAATAATGGATGTTAATTTTTAATGCCAGGTGTAATGGTCCATAGTGTGGATGTATCTGAGTTTGTCATTAATTCCCAAGAAGAAAACTGAGGTTGTTTCCAGTTTTCTGAAAGAATAAAACTTTTGAAAATACTCACATGAATGTAAGATATTGTTTCCATCAGGTTGTTACCCAGGGTGGGACTACTGTGTTAATTATCAGGTGTATTTCATATGAAGTCACCCCTCTATACAGTCGTTGTGGCATTTTCATCCTCACTTGCAAGGCATGGCAGCTGCATTCCTTTTTCACAATTTGATTGTGCCTGTGATATATATATATTCTGATAGGGGATTCATAGTCTCTTATTGTGAGTTTAATTTGGATTTCTCTGGTGACTAATTATAATAAGGAATCACCCCTTGATGGATAAATGACACTGACCCAGCCTCGTCGTGCCTGCCTCTGTTCGTATTCCTGGTGTTCCCTTGCTTTCCTTGTCTGTAGTGTCTGCCCTCCCCACTCTGCTTTATCACGACCTTTAATTTTCCTTCTTGGGCCAGATGGACAGCTACTCCTAGACTCCACAGCAACCTTTTCCCTGACCTGACCTTCTCTGGACTCCCACCCCTAGATCCAGCTCTGGGGACAGCCCAAGGCAGATAACAGTAATTGCTTTTCTCAGCAGGTGACCCAGATTCTTTGTCCTGAGGTTACAGGGAGATGACCAACAGATGACCATGCCACCTGTACTCTGTGCTCTGCCAAGGGGCCTGCCATCAGTTTCACTCTGGGACCTCACATTGATTCCCAGAGAGAAAGTGGGTCATTCAGTCTTGACAGCTTATACCACCATTTTCTACAGGTATTATTGAAAGTTGGCATCCTTCCCACTCCAAACCACAGCAGCAGGGAGTATGTTTCAAGTTTATTGCATGCTAAGTTCCTCCATGAACAAAATGTAGAATTGCATCTCATCCTCCAAATTCATGTAGTAAGAGTAAGTCATGTTTCAACATATGTTTCTGTGCAAAATATGTATATACATACATGTATGTGCATACTTGTATATATGGGTGAGTCCAGTAGGTTGCAAAATTATTTTATCTGTTACATTACATTAAAAAGTGAAAGCTATTGACTGAGGATATACGAAAACAAAACTCCAAACTCAATCCATGCTTCAAAAATGTGGAGCCAAGAAACACTGCAATGGTGACATATAGGCTTTGAACTTCACATACAAGTGGGAAGCATTGGTGATTCAGATACGAGGAAGATTTCTATGATTATGTTCAACTGGAGGAAAATGCCCTCACAGTGGCACAAGGGTTCACTGGAACTTGATCATTCCTCAACTTTTCAGTTCTCATGTTCCCGATTTTACTGTCATGTTATATGAATACACCAAAAATGTCACTCTAAATGGTAGAGCTGTGTTTGGAAACTGTGATAATGATTGTTCCATTCACTAAACAAGCTCATCTTGCAAATGTGGTAGAGGTGAGGTAACTGAGTGGCTAGTAATGTGTGCTCTGATGCATCTGGCCGGGAGGCTGGGGACAGGGCTATCAAGCCTCATAGGAATACTTGGGTCATGGGCCCAAGAGTTACTTATGAACTTTCTTCCAGGAAGAGATGGCAAGGCCATGGCGCTGTGTTGAAGGGGCCAGCCAATTCAGGAGACAAGGTTCTCTGGTGGTTCGCCAGAAAAGGCATCTTCTTTGTGATCTAAGAGTGCTGAGAGGCCCTTGTCAGTCTCATGATTCTAGACAATCCCAGAATCCAGAATCCATTGTCTGTATGTGTGTGTAATGGTGGTTAATCAAGCTTAAAGGAGGCATCTTTGTAGTTGACTTTAGACAGGCACATGAGATACCATCCTGCCTGAAGTGGCACAGACTCTGAACTCTTAGGACAGACTGAGACAGAGATGACTCCCACAACGTTGTCCTCCTCACCTTGGCTTCTCTCTCTGCTCACCCAACCTTCCAGGTGAGGATCTAAGCGATCCCATTGTTGGCCGCATATCAAATTCCCCTTCTAGTGTCCTTCTGGGGTAATGCCTCCTGACATTTTCTGACCATTTGTTTGAGATTTATTTTGTTCGCTCTTATTTAGGTTGACATTCTCTCTCAAAGCCAATCAAGTTGCTAAAACGGCAAACAAAAGAAAAGACTTGTGTCATCAACTAAGCTATGTAATTTAGAAAAGAAACAGAGTCTTCTGGGGAGTACTGCTTCCTTTCCTCGCCCTGGTGTTAGAATAACAAACTACTTCACTTAACCACAATTTCCCAAGAACGAGAGATATGTAGAATGACAGCTCTGCAATATCTGAGTTTTATACAGAAACATTACCCATCAATTGCTCATTTGTCTTGGTTTAAATTCCTTGAGTTTTCTTCTGGCTTTGGAACAGGTTGAACTGTCTCTAGAGAATCATGAACGTCTTTCTTTGATTCAGTGTTGTCATTCAAACTATCTGTTCCCTTTGCCCAGCACTGAATAAGCTCCTATGAAACCCATGCATATGACAGACCTGCCAAAATTGACAAAAAATGCAGTGAGGAAAAAAAAGCAAGCGTTTTTTAAAATATAGTTTTATGACAAGAAGTGGGCATTGTTAATTCCATTTTCGTAAAGTATCATCATAGAACAGAAGAGATAAAAGTGAGGGTCAAATTTATAATTACTCTAGAATCCTTCAGGAAAACAAATTTGCCTTAATCTTCTCACAATTATTTTTGTAGTGATGCTCTTTTCCATTCAAAATGTTGAGTCCCAGTCCATCAGGAGCCCCGGCCAGAGCATTCTGTGTTAGCTCAAGCAACCTTGATGGGCCAGCTGGAGAAAAGGAAAGGAATGGGATCTTTCAACCCAATTGGAAGTGTGAACACCCACAGATGAGGTGTGAGTTGGCCAAAGCTGCACAGTGATAGATCTGCAGGCTGGCACGTCTGCCCCAAATAGCACTCTTACCACTCATTGAGAAACCTGGATGCCTCTGCTTAACTAAAAGGGGGATTACTCCTTCCATGGTCATTAGTTACTCTCATTGCTGCAGGAATGTTCATAGTTCATCAAAGAGAAGAGTGTTTACAGCGAAGTAGAGAGAGAAAAAGCAGATGAGTAAGAGGGTCTGGGTATCCGGAGAGGTAATGTCGGAAGTAGAGATAATCTTAAACTTTTTTCCTGGACCATATGACAGTTCTCACCATATTGATACTCTTTTTGGAGTCAGATGCGCTACCATTGCACCATGAGGTCAGTCTGTACCCTCAGCACTATTAAAAAAAAAAAAAAGTGGGGGAAAGGAGCTTTTCCAGAACTGCAGGCATTTTGACCCAACAAGGTTCTCCATCTCTCACCTTTTTTCCTAGGTAGCAGGTATCAAAGGGATATTTCTGGCAAACAAGAAGGTGGATGACCAGGTGAAGACATACATCACTTACAACAAAGGCAGAGATTGGCGCCTCCTGCAAGCTCCCGACGTGGACCTCCGAGGAAGCCCTGTGCACTGCCTGTTGGTCAGTTGCCCAGTTACATCCCATGAGCACACTTGTTACCTAGGGGTGCTGCATCTTCCATCCAGGGGTTCTAGGAACTTGGCTGGTGTTTAGCAACAGATTTCTGCAGTTTCCAAGGTGGTGGTTTATAGGTTCAGGTTGTTGTACTAATTGCATGCAAGGTTCCGTTGAGCAGCACAGGCTTTTCCTGGTAATCCACGGTGTGTTCTGGTACATAGCATGGTCAGCACATAAGTGGATAACTGCTAGTTCTATGTCAAGGTAAATAGTGGGTGCCATGGAAACCCAGAAGAGGCCATGGAATGATATGTCCATAGGGGGTAGTTTTTTTCCATGTAGAATATTACTGTAGACACTATGGGGGGACATGATGTGCAAAATATTTTCCTCTATCTGGGTGACAAAACTGCTGGGAAGGAAAGGCAGTTAATTCAAAATAAAATTCTCAGTTTTGAGTGTCTTGTGATGAAGTGTGAAGAACTATTCTGAAATCCCAGAAATGAGTATTTCTCCTGAGAAGTCTGTTACCACTTATCTTCTATACTTTGATGAGAAAAACAGTTGATACAATCATAAACAGAACAAAGAAGGCCCTTTGCTTTTTGCAGTTTTCAGTCTTAATTCTGTTTGGGGTGTGTGTGTGTGTGTGTGTGTGTGTGGTGCGTGTTAGACACCAGGAAGGTAAGCCTTGTTGCCTCTCTCTAGGAAGAGATTACAGCACCATTGGGCTGTCCCAAACCTCAGCCATGACATTGTCTTATGTTCATAACCTCATTTCCTCTCTTCCACAATTTCACCATCTTATTCTTCCTTATGGTATAGGATTATGTCCACAAGTCCCTAGACCCTTTTAAGAATGTCCCAGTGGAGTAGCAAGCAAATGAATAGAGACTAGAAATTATATTTGGTTTTAGGTAAGGCCTTCAAATCCTAAATAAACTTATAAGCTGGGACAAACTACAAACAATGGAGTGACAATCTAATTACAGAAAATAATAAAGACCTTTGAGCATTTCATCAGTCTTGCTCTCTTAACTCCTCTCAGGGATCCTTGGAGTTCCAGGCAGCAGTTGGATGATTAAGATCAGGTTTGGAAGGTCATTGTGCTCTTCTTGGAAGAAGCCATGAAAGAGGCTACCTAAACCCAGCTTTGAACTTGACAGATGATAAGGGTTAAGGAAGAGAATGAAAGATGCATGATTGTTGGTGAGACCCATAATGATGCTTACAGCTTCCAGTGTTGACACATCAGTTATGTCAAAGAGGTGACTTCTGCTCCAAAAACACTGTTGCATCTCCTGATTTGATACCTTCCAATTTGAGAAGGTGAACATCTGGAAGCCCAGCTGTAACGGGGTGGGTGTGCATTTGTCAGAATTTTGGGGGGAATAAAAATGTTTTCTTCTTCTTCTCCTTGTAGCCCTTCTGTTCTTTACACCTGCACTTGCAGCTCTCTGAAAATCCATATTCCTCAGGAAGAATCTCTAGCAAACAGACAGCGCCAGGATTGGTGGTGGCCACAGGTAAGAAAAACATTCCCTTCGTAGTTTTTCCCAAGGCTTCTGCAATAACTGGCACCTGTTTGGATTATAGACTTATTGGAAAATCATTTGACACTCGTGGTGGTCCTTCACAAAAAAAACACCCAGTGGTCTTCAATCCCCAAAGCCCATCCTAGGATGGAGGTGCAAAGAATGCTGGACCTTGGCTGCCTCTGGGTGGATGCATCTCCCAGCTGACATCATGAAGCAGCTCCCATGGCTTAGCAAGAGGCCAGAGTTCCTCTCAAAGCAAACTGAATGATCAGAAAGATTGTTTGTCCTGGAGAATTCTCACTTTAAGAAAGCATGGTATAGGAACTTCCAGCTCTCTAAAATATAAGTTCTTTTTTTTTTTTTCTTTACACAAAGGATATTGTACAAAAGCTTTTGCCCCGGAGCTCTTTTTAATCAGGAGGTCTCTGGTGCATGTAAAGGTTTGTTTACACATGATTAACCACTTGGCTCAGAGCCTGGGGGAAAGGGCAGACAAACTTCAGGTTGCATTGTTGGAACCACTGTCCACTGAACATCAATCAGAAAAGAAGATAAAATAACTCTGAAATGAAAATGAAAGTCTCCAGGGGACTGTGCTCTGATTAGCATGCATTTGATTTACATACACCTTTTCAGGAATACATTGATGGCATAAAGGAAGGCTTGCTTCTAATCATCCAAGTTAGAGCTCTGGCATTAGGCAGCCTATTTTCTAATGAAAGCAGATAAATTCACGGTGACTTCCCAAGATGGTACATTCTGTTTTCTTTCATCTATCTAAATCTTTGCCCTCCCTCCCCCACCTCCCAGGGTTCCAACTCTCCTAGACCTCTCTGTAAGCCTCAAGCTTTATAGCCTCAAGCTTTATTTGAAAGACACGAAGAGCAAGATTTCTCATCCTCTGATTTACTACTCCCCAAATGCTTGTAACAGCCAGGGATTGAGCCCAGCTTGGAATCTAGACACTAGGAACTCCATCTGAGTGGCAGGGACCCAGGGATGGGTGTGCGTCAGCTGGACATACAGGACATGTACCAGCAGAAAGGCAGAATCAGGAGTGGAACTGGAGCTTCAAATCCAGTGGCCCAGTATGGGATGCAGATATCGCTGTTGGCATCCTAGCTGCTGCACCAAACGCTCCTCCGCTGCTGTTCACCTTTTCACTACCCCAGTGTCCAGGCGTGCTCGCCGTCGCCTTCTGAACCCCACTTGGGTGGGATCCAGCATGTTAACCTCATCACTCACTTGAGGGATCTCTTGGCTGAAGATGAGTGCAGATCCCGCAGCTGAGTCTGTTTTTTTGTTTGTTTTTCATAGAATTGTTTCACCATCAAATGATGGCTATGGATCTTTCTCCAGAAAATGTGCAGGGTTCTTGTTTTCCCAAAGCCCATCCAAAGGGCTGGGATGCAAAGAACACTTACTTGACAGTGGTAACCTTTAGGTCGGTGTGCACCCCTCCTACAATCACAGAACAATCCCCTGGCATTGGAGAGTCACCCCTATATTCTGTAATCCCTGTGAGCTGGTCCATGCAGCTCAGGGACTGCTATACCGACAGCTTCCCTCGCAGTATGCAGGATGCCCATGGCTGGAGTAGAAGAGCCGCTGATGGAAACCAGTGAGCAGCGATAACAGTGAATAATTTTGAATACTTACTATGTAGCCAGGCATTGTTAAATGTGGTTTAACCACTCTGGACTTAAATGTTTTCATTGGCAAAGTGGGAATAATAATACTATCATAATAGAATTGCAGGATTAAATGAAGCAATGAATTTAAAATGCTTAGAACAGCGCCCTGGACATATTGAATGCTCAACACATGCTACCTTTCATCATCACTAATATTGTAGAAGTTAATGCTGTTCTTCTTGCATCAGGAAGATATAATCTGCTCAGCTTTCAGTGGAATACATAAATCATTAACATATGTTAAGCACACAGTGAAAGTCAGAAGCTCTGTCCTCCCGATATCTAAGCTGAGCCCTGACACTTGCCTTGCAAACTTGTCTTAGATTTTTGTCTCTGAACTTCATTTTTCCTACCTGTAAAACCTTGCAGGGGTGTTGTAAGAATCAGACAGAGGGCCCACTGACTAACTGGTTGGGATTAGCACTAGTTATTATTACCTGGGGAATACCTGGTATTTTCCTTTACAATGACCTAATATCAAGACTTTGTTATAAATTAACAAGCATGCAAACAAGACTCATTCCTTTGTTCTTCCCCTGTGGCATTCCCGAGGCTTGTCCCCGGGCCCTGGAACACTGGAAGGGCTCGGACCTAGCGTGATGCGCTCCTGGTGACAAGTCAGGCCTATAAGGCACTGGTGTGTGCCTCCTCCTTTCTAGATTTTCTTGTACTGTTTGCTTGGCCTCTGGAAAATTTTTTTGCTACTAAGGAAGTAATTGTGAAGCTGGTCAAATGCACCTTTTTTAAAATAAACATTTATTTTTTATTGGAAAGGCAGATATACAGAGAGGAGGAGAGACAGAGAGGAAGATTTTCCATCTGAGGGTTCATTCCCCAAGTGAGTCGCAATGGCTGGAACTGAGCCAGTCCGAAGCCAGGAGCCTCTTCTGGGTCTCCCACGCGGGAGCAGGGTCCCAAAGCATTGGGCCGTCCTCGACTGCTTTCCCAGGCCACAAGCAGGGAGCTGGATGGGAAGTGGAGCTGCCGGGATTAGAACCGGCGACCATATGGGATCCTGGCACATTGAAAGCGATGACTTTAACCGCTATGCTATCACGCCAGACCCTCAGCTGCACCTTTTATGGAGCCTGTCTTTCCCATCTCCATGTTCCCAAGCTGATTTTGGGGTTCTGTGATCATGGGCTCTCTCACTTCCACTCCCACCATTTACTCCCCTTTCCAAACTTGCTTTTAGATGTGACCTCATGGAAACTGTGTGGATAAATGACGTGCAGAGATATGTCTAGCCTCTGTTGAGCACATCCCAGAAGGCATAGGAATTCCTGTCTGGAGAGTTGGGAAATTGCTCTTAGCAGATGGAAACTAGGATTTGCTCTGTAGCTAACGCTTTGAATGTAAGCTTGGAGTAAAGACCACAGATCCTCATAGTGCTCCACAGTGTGCAAAATAGTTTCTTTGCCTTAGTTGCAGAGTTCTCCTGTTATGTAGAAAGGGCCATCACTATCCTCCCCAATAAACATGTAACAATGCCAAGAGTGAGTATGGGAACAGTGGTAGCACCCTGACCCCAATTCTAGCGCTCCATGCTCTAAACATTCAACCAGATTCATCCACAAGTTCTTTAACATGCCTCCTCCCCATCTCCCCCCGACTTCCTGCCACGTGTCAGTGTTTTCGCCTCATGTTCCCTCCTTGGAGGCCCTTTCCACCCTGCAGTTGGCTGTGTATCAACTGCTTGCTTGTCCACAGAACCCTCAGCTACTCCACTTGGGCAGCACCCCATTCTGGTGGCAGTGGAAGAGAAGACCCCAAAATTCCCATTGTCCAAAATTAGACTTGGACAAAACCCTGTGAGCCTTTGGCTCTCAAACTAATTGAGCTTCGAAAGAGAGCCAAACGATGTCAGAACGAACTTCTGAAGAGGAGAGCCATGCCAGGGATGGCAGGTACCTAGCTCTAGGTCAGGTCTGCTCTAGCTGCCCTCTCTTCCCCCTCCCACCCTTGGCACTCATTTGTGCAATACTACTATGAAATACGCCAATGCCTTGCTGATAAAGAAAGTTAAATTTAGTTCATAATTTTGGACTTTCAGTGTCCCAGTGACATTACACAGGCTCAATGGTAAGGGCCATCCCTCTGCTGCTCCACCTCATGGTGAGTAGCAAAGCCAGAAATACATATGTGAGCAGGTGGTTGAATCTCAAATCAGGAACAGAGAGAGCTGTGTGGGTTTAAACTCAGATTGTATATAACAGCATTGTTATGAGAATCAACCAAGGAGTTCCCTGTGAGCTACCTTCTAACGGTGCCTTCCCACTGACCATGAGGCCCCTTCTCCAAAGCTATTTTCCCCAAAGATTTATTTATTATTCTTAATCTGAAAGGCAAAGTTACAGAAAACAAGAGAAAGAGATCTTAAATCTGCTCATACACATTCCAGAGATCTCTGTGGCTCAGACTGGTTTAGATGGAAGCCACGAGCTTGCTCTGGGTCTGCCATGTGGGTGCAGTGACCCAAGCACTTGGCCAATCCTTGGCTGCTCCCCCAGGCACATTAGCAGGGTGATGGATCAGAAAAGGAGCTCTCACGTTTGGAACCAGAGTTCATGTTGGATAGAGCTGGTAGCTTAACTCTGTCACAACACAAGGCCCTTTTCTAAAGCTTTTACCATTCTCCTACAGTGCTACCCTGCAGATCTAGGGTTGACTTGCAATGGACATTAGAGGGTGTAAACCAATCATTAAACGACATCTAACTCAGAACACCAGTCACCACATATATTCATATATACTCACATACTGATTCTGAGTTCTTTTGAGTGCAACGCTAACCACTCTTTGCGTAGCCCCATTCACTGTATTCGTCTGCACCTTCTAACACCTGTATCCCGATGATGGAATATCAGCTTCCAGACAGATTGCCATGGGCTGCTTGCCACACCTCTCTGCTCCTCTCACTGCCTAAGCCCCGAACCTTGGGGTTATTTTTGGAAGCCTGTGTGTCAAAACACATTGGCTAGCTGTGTGCTCTCTGGTGCTGATGGGAGCTTGACAAGCTGGAGCCTGGCTTTAATTTCTCATTTTGAGGCATTAAATGTCAGGAGCTCAATTAACATTTTCATTATTGCATTTTTATTGTGCTCTTGTTTAGGCTACAGATGTGTGAGAGCTAACATTCCCTTCCTGCTATTTTTAAAGAAAAAATATCAACCCATAGGATAAACTCTTCCGTGTTTAGAATGCCTTGCTGGTTTTCAGTGTGTCCCTAAATGCACATCAGCATTGGAACAGAATTCAATCAAATGTCTATTCATTTATCATTCATTCCATAATTTTTCTTTTCATTAGGCATTAACTGTGGAGTTTGGGACACTATTCTAAGAGGAGAGAGCTATCCACTGGGAAAACTAAAGCAGAAAAAATCCTGAACATTTTCTGCTTAATAAACATAACTACAAAGTGATAGACATGCAAGAGAAAAAGTGGGCAAAGAGAAGAGGACGTGATGAGATTAAAGCAGTACATGTGCTCAGCCTATGCATCAAATGAGTGTCTTTCCTGTCTCCAATTAAACATGATGTGTTTAATTCAATCATCTTTTTGTGTGCTTGATAACTTAAGTTTCATAGTCAGTTTCAAAGGGTCATTGAACCACCTTGTGATCAAAGGGCATGTTGCCAAGCTCATATGAACACACACACCTACACATGCCATGGATATGAACATACACATACACACCAGTTTTTCAAGGTTCACATTGTATGTGAGAGAAGGGAACCCAGGCGCTCTATGCGTGTGTATTCTATCACTCTTCACCACCTTCATGGGGTACCTGTCAAGAGCAACTTACGAGATTATTGGTGTAGCGTGAATAATTCAAGAGAACCAACTGAATCGATATTCGGTCTTTGAATCTTAACTATTTGATGGTGTATTCTTGTCATACAGTTTACCTCGTATCCCATATTGAATTTGTCTTCCTGCTGAGTTTTTGATCTGACATCAAGAAAGACTTTACAAATAAAATATAGGCATCACTTGAAAAACCTTTACTTTTTTATTACCCCCTCTGCCAGCCATAAGCATGCTTGTCTTTAAAATGCCTAACAATTTGAGGTCATCTGCTTATGTTTCAGGCAACATTGGCTCGGAGCTCTCATATACTGAGATTGGTGTGTTCATCTCCTCTGACGGGGGCAACGCATGGAGACAGGTAACTGGTATGATTCAGAAACATGGAAGAAATATGTAGATTATGTTACATCTCCACTTCCTGTAGACTCAGGTTCCTTATGATTTTTTTGTTGCCAGATTTGACATAGCCATTCAGAGGTGTGTGCCTGGAAGGCAAGAGGTGAAAGAGCAAAAGCACTGGGTAGGAAACAAGAAGAACTGGAAATTGTCCAAGTTTGTTCATTCTTTCCCTTAGCAATATGTATGTGTAACACTGGTGCTGAGATTCGACCTGGTTACAGGAGATACAACTGATTAAACTGTTTCTGTTGTGAAAGTTCCACAAATTGTAAGGGTTAGAATAACAAAACTGGCAAAACCGTAGCATCCAGTGGTTGTTTAATATTGTGTAGGCTCATCCTTAAATACATATGAGACAAGTTAACACATGATGACTATATGAAATATAAACTCGGTTTTACAGCTGCTTGGAACAGTACTGCCCAACAGAACTTTTAAGGATGATGGAAATTTTTAATCCATGGTGTCCCATGAAGCTGTTAAGCACTTGAAGTGTGACAGAGGAATTAAATTTTATTCATTTATTTTAATTAATTTAAATTCAAGTAGTCAAAAATGTACTGCATTATACAAGAGGTCTATCCAATGCCAACTAGATGTCAGACTCAAAGCTACAATAAAAATGGAAAATCATTGAGTCCCTGTCTCATGGAGCTCAAAAATAATAGAGTAAACACGTTCATAAGTAACTGTGGTTCAAAGTGATTGTGTTATTTTTAGTTGCATTGTTAGCATGCAAAGGAAAGGGGGGGGATGGGTGCTCCTGGGGAAAGGTTGACAAAGTGATATTTTACTAATTTCAAAGAAGATTTCAATGAAGGTGAAGTCACCCTCTGACTTGTCCAGTTAGACAAGTTTTTCTTGGTTCCCTTAGTGTGAAGACTGTCATCACCATAACCAATCTCATTATTACCATCATCCTCACCGTCATTGTCACCAGTGTGACCGTTTAAAAAATTATCGAACACTAGCAACCATTTTAAGTATTAAAAGGCACAGGTTAAAGGTTAAGTCAGGTTTCCTATCCACAAACCATAATCAGGTAAAGGGGAAATAAACATCTGAATGAAACCAGAACTTCAGAATAACATCTTCCAAGTGCCAGAGGAGGGTGGAAGCTGATACACAGACCCATATGGAAGAAAAATCCCAATAGGCAAACCGTTGTTGCTTAGCCTAAAGGATCAGCTTACCTGCCCAGGTTGCCACTGCAATTGCTTCTCAATATTGTGACAACTTTTCTTTTTTTGCCAAGCATCCATTCACTCCAGGGCTGGGCAGAGCAAGAGTTAGCTGTAGCTGGGCTCAGAGTATCATAAGGCAGATCCAGGGATAATGTGTCCCTCCTCCTCATTGCCAGGACTCTTCCTGTACTCCTCCCGCTTCATTCCAGCATCGCCATTCTGTGGTTGATCCCAGATATATTGCTAAAGATCTGGAAGGGGAAGCAGGGTCCTGCAGGCTCAGGTCTGTGGTTGTGTCTGAAATAGAAGTGGATTGCCTTTAGACCCTTAGAAAGACTTAATTTCCTTAAAATGTGACCATGATAAAGGGAAAATGATTAGGGACTCTAGGGCTGAGAATTTATTTTTTTTCTTTCATATTTGTTGCAGCAAATCCGTGAGACCCTTTTAGTCATTGTCATTGTCCCTGTAAATCTGTTTGTACCTTCTCTTCTGGCGGCTGTCACCTAATCTATTACCAGACATCTTCATCTTGACTACAAGAGCTGCCATCCGGAAAAGGTCTTACAGCCTGCTATCCTATGGAAGGTTTTAAAGTGTAATTTACTTCTTATAGGAGAAGTGGTTCTTCTGTTCAAGTTGTCAGTGTAAAGTCGTGGCCAGCAAAGGCACTGATGGATGTTGTTTTTCCCCAAGAGAGTTATTTGTTGTCTGTGAGCTTCTTTTCTCTATGAAATGGGGATAACACTCATATAGAAGAGACAATGTACATTAAAGATTGTAACTGTCAAGCACTGTGCCAATGTAAGGTGTTGCTATGATTGTTGCTGTTGTTATTGTTGTTCCAGATCTTTGATGAAGAGTACAATGTCTGGTTCCTAGACTGGGGTGGCGCCCTCGTGGCCATGAAGCACACACCTCTGCCAGTCAGGCATTTGTGGTAAGGACAGCTCCCGACTGTTAATGAGCAGCGTCAGTGGAGAGGGTTGGGACAAGTTATTCTGCATGGTGTTGTACTCATGTATGCATTTCTTCATTCATTTATTCATCCTCCATTTAATAGCCTTTACATCCTCTAGTTCAAAGGCAGTGAAAACAGGCCAGATAATTCAGGGGGAACAGTGTGATGGATGGGGTGGGGTTATAGGAATGGGTGATCACATGAGGCAGAAGAGAGCGTGCGGAACCTGCAAGCTCAGGCAGGCGTGATGAAGATATTTCATCAGAGCTGAGGGTTGTCAGGTATATTCATCTGAGGCTCAGGCAGATCTATGCTGATACCTAGTTTGGAGTCACTGGGCACTTATGGGGTCAATAAAGCCGTAGGAGTAGGTTCAGTGTCTCCGGTGGTACAAGGGGGAAAAGTCAAAGACTCCTGTAGTTCTTTAATGAAAACCATTATGCAGAGCAGGAGACAAAGTTACTGGACAGACAAAAGGAAGCTGACAAAAAGCTAAAGGCACATGGAAAATGTTCTCATGTGTCCTGAGGAATGAATGTTCAAAAGCATCAGATGCCATCTGACGAAGGCAATCCATGCTGAAGCAGTATAAGAAATGGTTGGTGATGATTACCAAAGTGGATTTAAAAGAGAAATGGGTTTTAAGTTAGATCATAATACATTTGTGGATGTATAAATAAAATAATGGTAAACAACTGAATGGAGACAGTATAGATTATTGCTCTCAATAAAGTGAATTATGGAATGAAGCGGAGAATATGTGTGCAAAACCTTTAATTAGATGAAAGTGCTGAGTTAGACATCATGATGATGATGATGATGCATTGATGCTCTTATTATTTGGTTTGTTTTTGGCCGGGGAGTATGTGAGTCTGTGTGTGTTGACCAAAGTAAACATTAGAAAATACTTGTAGATGGAGGCCACGCAGTCTAGAGTTGGTGGGATTTGCCATGGCCCTTAATTTGAAAAGACCAATACTTTTAGAGTAACAGTTTTATTAGGAGATATAATACTATAATCAGAAAAAAATTCAGGGTTTTTGAGCACCCTATCCCATCTTAAATTGCTTTCACAAAGCACTGAAAGTGTCTCTTGGTAAACCATATGAAATTGTACTCATGGCTAGAAATGGTCACATATTTTCCATTTCATGGAGAATCTAGCATAAAGTTAGTTATACCTATATTATGTTATGCTACAAAGAAAAATGCATATAATATTTTTCAATATATATGATGCGATTTTAAAGAACAGTGTTCGGCTAGCCCAATGAGCTTATTAAAATTTTCAAAGTAGTTGTTTATCATTTTTTTTAAGATTTATTTATTTGTTATTGGAAAGGCAGATATACAGAGAGAAGGAGAGACAGAGAGGAAGTTCTTCCATCTGATGATTCACTCCCCAAGTGGCTGCAGTGGCTGGAGCTGAGCCAGTCTGAAGCCAGGAGCCAGGAGCCTCTTGCGGGTCTCCCACACGGGAGCAGGGTCCCAAAGCTTTAGGCTGTCTTCGACTGCCTTCCCAGGCCACAAGCAGAGAGCTGGATGGGAGGTGGGGCTGCCGGGATTAGAACTAGCACACATATGGAATCCTGGCACATTCAAGGAGAGGACATTAACCGCTATGCTATTATGCCAGGCCCTGTTTATCATATTTTAAATACTGACTTAATACTTCATAGTATCAGAAGACTTAAGTCATTTCATATTGTTTTAAGATGTATTTATTTTAGTTAGAGTCTTATTTATTTTAGTTGCACAGATGTGTGCATATGCATACACACACATCCTTCTCAGCATTCATAAGAACTTGAATGGGCCAGATAAACTCAGAATTTTGAGACTCCTTCCAGGTGTCTCACATGTGTAGCAGTGGCCCAAGCACTTTGTCTTTTGTTGCTTTCCCTGATTGTATTGGCATGGAGGTGAATCTGAAGTGGAGCAACTAGAACTTGAACCAGAGCTCATATTGGAATGTGACCATCTCAGGCAGCACCTTAACCCATTGTACCACAGTGCTGCCCCTGCAATCACTTGATATTAATGATAATCAGCATGCATTTAGAGATTGCTGCATTCCAGGTACTATTCCAAACAATGTACATGAACTATTTGACTTAATTCTTGAGCCAACTCTATGTGGGTAGTTTTTGTTAGCTATTTATGATGACGTATTTATTTGTTTGAGACTATACATAGCTAACACCTGGCATTGTTAAGTTTGGTCTCTGGTCTGGATGTTCTTCTCTTCTGACTGCTAATTTTCCAGCCACTGTAACAAGTACACAGAGGCTGTGATGTGGTCTCTGCCCTCTATCAAGATAAGGAATTAAAACAACCATTCATCACCAGAGATGAAAACACTGTCTGTTAAAGGACTCGGGCTGCGTGTGTTAATACTGAGGCTGAGTGCAATCCTGCCTGTTGATGGGGGCTTCCTGTAGCAGGTGGCTTGGGGACTAATGCCTGATGGGGAGTTGCTGGGAATTGCTGGTAGGGGGAGATGGGACGTGGAGACAAATTAAATCCTACAATTTAGGAAAATTGAGATTGTTCAGAAAACTACATTTCACTGGAGTCAAGGATGTAAGAAGAGATGGGTAGGACTCAAAAAAACTTAAAAGTCAGTTGAAGAGGAAAATTTGAGTCAATAGGAAATTTACTCCATAATGAAGAAACATCTCTGTCTATGAAAACATGATTTTTTTTTCTATTGAGTACTGCGTAGTCTTGTTCTTTCAAAGAGACAGCGTGTTTATAACTAAGAAGAATGTTTCTTAACCTTTGTCATTGCGTTCTGAGACCCTCCATTTAAATCCCAACAAAAGAATTGATCAGTGTCCTGTAGGCACAGATAGCTGAGCAGGCTTCTGCCCCTGAAGTCCTAAGAGAAGAGGTTAGCAACATCACCTTGCACTTGCACTTGACAGTCTCCCTTTTGATTTTTCATTATGGATGTGGTAAACACCCAGCACTTACTCAGTTGTTGAGTTGCAGACAAATTACCTTTTTACTGAAGAAAGGGAGAACTCATTTTTTTTTTCTTTTTGCTCTTTCTTGTGCTGGAAGAGGAGAATATATTTGCTGTGGAAGGAGTACATGGGACAGAGGGGTAGAGAGGAGTTTGGCCCTGTGAGTCCTAAGTGATCATCCAGTTTAACTCCAGTAGTTTCTGTTCAGAGCCCTCTGTTACAAATGGAACACTTTTCTGGGAAAATCAAGAAGAAAGCCATTGAGGTTGGGAAAAGTCTCTGTCCACTTAGAGAACTGTAACTAGGATCAGACTCATCAATACGAAGCTTCAGTTTTCCATTCTTCATGTAATTAATCTTTTATTTGTTACAATTGTAGAACTCAGAAAAACTCATGGTGTTCCGATTGAATTTCTTATTTCAATAATCATGTTACCTTCTATTTATCTACTCTAATTTATGAAACAGTAAAAATGATTTTTCAAAGTAAGCTTAGGAGAGATCGTTTTCTTTGCTGCTGGTGCCATTGTCGTCCTAATGTCAATATTATGGCAAATGCTAGAAAAGATTCTCAGAATTTGGGCAAGGATTATAATTTCTGTTTACTTGACTATCTGTCACTGCTATTCTTTAAAATATTCCTTTCATATGGTTAAAAATCAGCTATTGAGTTGAATGTTCAAAAATCAAAATAATTATTTTATAAGGGTCTGACATATTAGTGACCCTATCATTTTCATGAAGGTTTTCTTATGAAATAGATGCCTGAGTTTTGCTTCCTACTCATGAGATGCAAGCTTCAAAAAATCTAAACACCATTTATTTTTCCCCTGTGGTTTCTAATTAAGTCACAACCTTCTTAGTAAAATTGTAGCTCACTACAAGTGGATGAAAGGTTAAATATTCAGTTCTTTGTTATTTTCTTTTGTATAGTTCAGGCTCATGTTTTGTATACATATGTAGAGTATACATATTTGTGTAGGGAAATGGCACAAGCCTTTTCTCTTTTTCACAAGAATATTAGTAGCTCTTAGACTTAAATGATAGCTACATTGCCTTGCACAGAAAATAGGAATCATAATTGAAAAGCTGGGTAAACTTTAGCTCGGCTAACAAAGCATGCTATTTCCTACAAATTGAAATAATAGGTGGCTAGATAGGCAAGAAGATAATACAGCATACAAATGAACTCATCTATTTGTGACCATGTACATTTGGATGCACAGAGATTAGATGCTAAACACTCTTGCACTGAAATCTCCCTTCAGTATTCTCAGTGCACCTTAAAGCATCAGAATTAGATGAACACTGAATACCAGACCCTGGTGAAAACTCAACATAGAGTGCTTAAATGGCAAGAAGGCTGGGGTGTGACTATTCACTTAGCTGTGACAAGCTGTCTGTGTCTCTTTTCAATGGAATGGTCTTGGAAACAGAAAGCATCACCTGGCATTTGGGGATTCTTTTTTCTATAAGTTCTTGCAGGCAGGAGCATTTTATTCAGAGCAAAATTCCCATGAAAACAATAGTTCCAAACCAGTGCTTTCCTCTGAGATGCAGAAGGACGGATGCTATATGGTTTCTGGGTGGCTCAAATGCTACCACCTTATGTGTTTGGTATAAAGTGAAGGGAAGAAGATTGGTTGGCCATGACCACTATTAGCTCTATTTCTGTACTAGAGATTCCAAGGAGGGCTCTGCATGTCATTGCAAGATATTACTTCTTTTGGTTCCTCTTCTCTTCATATTTCACTCTGAAACATACAAAGTATAAAAGGATCCTAGAACTCATATATATGGGTGTTGTACTCCCTGAATACTTTTGTGACATCCCAACAAATCACAGTACTTTATCAGAGGACTACAACATAAACCGGCTTGCAAGTATACATTATGGGGGGTTTCTATGCTGTATAATGGCTTTTAATTATTTTCAAGTGTAGCAATATTGAATCGACTTTGAATTTCTATTCATTGACTCACATTCTGGTTCCCCACTCATTTTTGTTC